CAATGATAACGGTTTTATGTTGTAACGCGCTACTCTGTAAATGTAATATTATATAAAGTTTCCTCTTCGTTTTAATATCCAATGCAGCAGAATTGGGGAAAGGTTTTCTATAAATAAAATAAATTAATAATAACCATAAAACCCAAAATCTATGGAATTATAAAAAAAGAGTTGATTTCCACACTTCTGAGTTTTAATGCGACGTTCGTCCTTAAACTTAATAAATTCCACTAGTAAAACAATATTCTTACATTTTCTTTGACTCTGCTTCTATTTTATCAGGTAGGCTCCCACTGTAAGCCTCTAGTATATTTAGTACATATATTTGTATATGTAGTATATTTAATAATAGTAGCATAAAAGTAAACCTTGTACATGTAGTGCAACATCATGTTATGTTCTGTTTTATATATTGCTAACCATACACTATTAAACAGACGATAAAGCACATAACTTGCCTAAGATATTGTCTGATGAAATAAGTCCTTAAGTTCAAGTTTACCCCAGTGTTTGGACCACAGGTATCCGAGTGACACAGCTGGGATGTGATGGTGATTCATCTGTGTCCAAAGTTACCGCCAAACTTGGTTCATTATGCTTTTGTAATCCAGCCATTCAATTACAAGCCTTTTCAGTGGTGTATAAGATACAAATCTCGAAGCTATAGTCACAATTCTCATGGCAATATTGTCCATAATCTGAAGGCAAACTCATTATAAGATCTCCATTTAGTATTTAGCCACTTTTACATATTTGGATAAAATAATTTCTTAAACCTTTTCGGTAAGTCTTAATATATTAAGCTAGCGTTTGTTTTTAGATAAACGTTTAATTAACTAAAACTACGGGACTGAACTTTAATAATGAGTAAAGAACATCTCAATTATATTTAATTAAAACTATCTATTTAACATAAGATGTTAAATACATTGGGATTGTATCTAATAAGAACAAGAAATCCTTAGAACATTAATTTATTCAGTGGCAATGTCTTTTTCCTAATGCCGTATAAAGTAAATACTTTTACTTTATGGAAGTACAAATTAAAATGCTCAGCCACTCTATCAATACACCCTTTAATTAATTTACTTTTGCTTTTAACAGTTTACTGTCTTAATTTTACATTAATGTTTAAACAGCACAAATATTGTTCGTATTGTATAAATGTTAACTAGGTTAGATAGTAGTTAGATAAGTGGATAGTTTGTTACTATAATATTTACCCTATAAAAATGACAAAACTGGGAACATTAGGAACGTGAACATTTTCATAACGACAGATAATTAAATCGCATTATGTACTAGCGTGATTCTAATTGGTAAAATGTGTCCCTCTCTAGTCAAATATGTAAAAGCCATGCAACACTGCGCAAAATAATGTCGTCACGCCATGATTGTGATGGGAAACACTTTTAATTCAAAATAAATTATATATTTTGTTCACAATGCATTGCAAGGATTGATTAAATGACATAAGAAAGTGAATAACCTGTCCTCAATCAATCTTATTGTTTCTAGTAAAACCCCATTTTCAAATCCATTGTCTTCTTCTCAAACATAAATTACCCAGCATTTGCCGTTGTCAAACTAAAAAATAATTTAAACATAACGAAGAAACATACTCAAAGAAACATTTACTTTACAATATATGCAACTCGTAAGAAACTCGTACAAAATCAAACTCTGAGTCTGGTACAATCCATCTATTTTAATTTTGATAAATAATAGGTTTTAATGATACTTATTTTTAGATTCAACAATAAGGATATTGACAAGAGTACGGTTATATTGCATAGTCTTTCATATTGTGTTTATCTTAAACTGGAAACGCTTTATTGTGAAATTCTTTATCCTACTAATGTTTATAATAATTCGTAAGGATGCAGCTTCTTATACCAATGTATTGTTTAAAAATAATATAGGCTGGAAGACATTCATTCAGCAAAATATCTGTCTAGTAATCAGGTTTTTTTTTATCAAAAGGACTTAGCTTGGAAGTATACAATCAGAAGAATACGTTATCATCAAAATCCGGGTGTTTTTCAATTGAGTTTGTTTAGTTAGGTTTCCTCTTTCAAAAAACTCTGCTCAATTATGCAAACAGGGTGTTTTTTTAACTTGCTATTTTATTTATGTAAAAACTGAAATATATAGAAACATGCAGTTTGCGAGAATCGTCTATTGACGTAGAGGTCACAATTGTTGTGAATTTAATGTGACTTTTCCATTAACCCCCTTTCTCACCCTACCCTTAGATTAATATTTTTAAACTGCAAGGTACCCATTTGACATATCAAATGTGAGGGCATGAAAAAAGAAATAGAATGGTGCAAACTAGAGATCTCTAGTCAATCCTATCAAAGATTATGACTGAACTGTCATAATTTTGTATAGGATTGAGCTAGGATAGTCCTTCAAAAGGACTAGCTGGCACAGTTGTCCGAATAAAAAATCGTAAAAAACCAAGAAACTTTAAACAATTTTAGAAGTATGGCGATTTTTGAAGGTGAAGGAGTCTGATTTTCGGGAAACCCCATAGAATGTTTTGAAGAAAATTTAATTCCTGCCCGTGAAATTTCTTTTAAATCTTTGCTAGCTCTTCCGCTTTCGAGCTACAGTCATTAAAAAAACTTGTTTTTCTTAAAAAAGGGGGGTGAAGAATTCAAATTTGAACTGCCTTAACTTTTGATTGACAGATCTCTAGGCTGCACCATTCTTTTTCTTTTTTCATGCCCTCACATTTGATGTGTCTAATGGGTTACCTTTCAATTAAAAAATTTTAATCTTATGGTATGGAGGGGGGGAGAAAAGGGGTGAATGGGAACTTCACATTAAATTCACAACAGTTGTTGCCCATCGTCAATACACGAGTCCCGCAAAAGGCATATTTCTATCTATTGCAGTTTTTACATGAATAAAGAAGCAAGTAAAAAAAAAAACACCCTGTATTACAACTGTTGTTTTAGTTTATGGGAGTTTTATATCTTGATAATTTTTTTTAATTGTCATGCGAAAGAATAAAAACTATATAGTATATGAGTTATACAGTTGTATCATTTAAATATCTCAGCATGAGCAACGAATTTTGTTAAAATCAAACGTAAGACCTGGCAATGGTGGTTTTAATTGCCAATTTCTCTTCTTGTATACTTCATTTTTGTATTTTTTTTTTAATTTTTTGGTTCTGATAAGATACAATATTTTCTTTCAAGGTAAAGTTATTGAAAGATAGCGACAAACGATAACAAAGGTCTAAGGCCGGTCCAGCTGTAACCTTGTGTAATGAAGTCATCAATAACATGAAGTGTCGATTTGGAGGTCACATTGTCTCGTTTATCTTCAGAATTCTTTATCACTCTCTATTTGTAGAGAAGCTTTGAGTTTCAGATAAGTCAGCCTTGTGTCACTAAATGAAGCTTTGGCAGATTTACATTTCTTTGAAAAAAAAAAATATATATTATAAAGTTTCTCAGTAGCTGAAAATAATAGGTTTAGATAAACTCCTAGTGTGGTCTACTACAAAGTCAATGGCTTATTTCTTAAGAAAGCATAACAATTTCATGTTTACTTACGTTTAGCCTGTACCTAGTTCGATTCAAAGCAAGGTTGTCTTTGAGTGCAGTTGGATTATAATTAAATGACGCTTTCTAACAAACAGTTAACTTTATATAACAATAGAACCAGTATTGGGCAGTTTCCATTGAAAATGAAAATTTTAATTGTCAATAGCGTGAGAACATAATTAAAAATCCCACCACCACAGCAAACCTGCAGAATGAGTGAATTAAATTTATCTGTTTAAATATTGACTAAAATATTTCCTGAAACAACAAGCCTCACCTATTGTCATAAAGATAAAAATATAATCGGTTCCGGATCTATGTCTTAATTCCAGTTCAATTGCCAATTAAATTTGTTTAAATTGTAAAAATGCGTGTACTGAGCCAGGAATGAAATGTGATGCAAAATTAAATTCTCCCTATAGGTTTTGCATAATATCTGAAACTCTGTTTGAAAGATAGTTTACAAATATCAAAGTTATTATTTCGGTAAAATCTGAAAGGGCACAAAACTGGAATTGACATAAAGCGAGTTTTAGTAGACTGGGGCTGTATCAAAGGAGTACAGGGAAAGGGAATAATTTACATTTCCAAACTAACCCACATCATGAAAATATTTTCTGTCTTGCACTTCATTTATGCTAGTGAATCAGTATAATATTTTTATCTTTAATCGTAACGATAATTGTTTTAAAATAGTAAAATATAGCTTACTTTAAATTGTGTTATATGATATATTTTAATTTTATATATAGTTCTATAGGCCTATTCGTATTTTATACAAAACTACTGTCCATTAATATATTTTAAAATTTTCGTTTATAAATATGTAAATATTTTATGAATATTTTGTTTAAATTAACTTTGTGCTTTTTGTGATTTACTGCTTATCAGTAAATTAAACAGAATAACACATATTTCTAGAGTGTGGCAGATTGCATGAAAATATAATTTAAAAAAAATCTTTGATATAAATATTGCACACAGAGTCGGAGAATATTTCTATATACAAGTTTAGGTTTTAGGTTTAGGGTGTTTACAAAACTGTAAAGATGTTAAGGTTTCCAAACTATGAAACACAAAATGTAACATCATAAGTAATACCTATGTAAAGTTAGTACACAAATCGCGCATCAATATATAATAGTATATATTTTGTATCTTGGTCAGTGGCTTAAGGAATGGAAAACGTCATAAGGGATTTTCGTGGAAATGGTAGGAATTAAACTCATCTTTCTCGCACTGAAGTCCAAAAATAGACCAATCGAATAGCAGCACAATCAACATACAAACTCTTCGAGTCTCTTACGCTATAAGGATAGATAGTTGTGACTACCAGTTGTTGCAAAAAGCATGATATTTATTACAGTTATAACATTTAACACATTTGAATGAGTAAAATATATTGGAGAATTAATTAGTTTTCTGGTTCTGTTGCAGACACGTCATGGTTGATCCAGTGACCTCACCTCGTCTGCCATGGTCCCCGTGACTCTTTGTGAGTCATCGGACAAGAGATCCTGGACCGTCGACAAACCTAATCGCCGATATTCAAGACTAGCCTTCAGAAAAATCGTTATTTCTTTCACTCTATTAGTTTTGTTCAATGATTTGTCACTGATCTTTGCCAAATCCATAAATAAACCAGCAAATTCATTTTCGGAAGAAACCACACATGCCACTATTAACGACAGAGACAAAACATTTTCTAATATATTCTTTACCCCTGGCACTAAGTTGAAACAAGATGAGTTTGAAGAAAATGAGACGGATCAGTTTACAAAATTCCATAGAACATTGCTGTCAATAAAAAATCCTGAGAAAAATAACATAACGCTTCCGAATATAAAAAGAACCCCTTATGAACATTTTGACGACCATTTTGTTTATGATGACATTGCCTTCGGGAATCTTAAAACCATGTCTTCCTCCTTTGAAGATGTTAACCCTTTTGACGATAATCCGCTTAAAAATTTTACCTTGTACGAAAATGGCACTTTGGTCAACTCGAGCTTGGAGTCGAACGGTACAGCTGTGGAGGATGAGTCTGATGCTATTTTCATGGGCATCATGTCCGTGGTTCTCGGCATCCTCATCTTGGTCACTGTCATCGGTGAGTACGCTGCTTTAATGCTCCTGTAAGTGTGTTTTGTTAAACATTCTACTAGTCCTTCCCTGTTATTAGTATGGATGTGGAAAATGAATAGGATCCTTAATTTAATTTTTTGTAATGGCTAAAACTATACGATGTCAACTTTATATGTTTATATCAAATTTAATTTAGTATGTTCAGTTAATATTAACACTTGTGTATGCGGTCGACGTAAACCAAGAAGGTAATTGATTGTGAAATTCTATGTTATCTCTTATATTAATACTTGAGGGCTGTTTTTTGTGAACAAAACTCCTCCGTTATTTCTGGACCGATTTTAACGTTCGAGGTGTCAAATCATTCGTCTCAATTCGTAGTTTTGCATAAAGGTTTTGGAATTTAAAAACTCTTAGCCTTAAGGGCACGAGACGCTCTCAAAGGTCACATTTTCCCCATAAGAATTACATTGAAAAAAAATTTAAAAACAAAAACAGCTGTATATAAAAAGAAACTCACCAGCTTTTTGGGGGTAAATATTGATGGTTGTAATATTTAGGAGGTTATAGACAAATCTAAACAGTGAATCAGTTTTGTTGGAAGAACAGTCATTTCTTGAGTTTAAAGGAGAAAATTTAAAACAGGTGTAGGAGACAATTAATAGGAAATCTTATACGTATGAGAAAAGTAGAGGAGAGGCTGGTCTCACGATTTATCATTTCTGCCAGTTATGCTAAGCAACTTATTTTGGAAGTAAAAACCCATGAAGAATATACACATCATGTTGTCACAGTGATGAGTTTAAGTCATGTTGTCTACCTAAAGTCAGATCAAATAAATACATGCAAGAAATGTTTACTGGTAACAGTTTAAGTCGGGAAACATTTCTAGAAAACACTAAAAAATAAGGCCGGGTTCAAAAATGATAAAATATTTTTACAAGAAGCGCTTATTATTTCAAAGCGTATTAAATAGCGTGAGTATTCCAATCAGTTCACATAAGTATTTAGTCGGGTCTTTTAAACTCATCGAAAATTATGACTGTTATTACTGTGGTTTTAAAATAACTTCTGTATAATACCGGTACTTGACAATTAATTGCTCGATTTCGAGCAACAGGTACACTAGTTTTAATTGAATATTGGATCTCCTTGGTGAAAAGATCTAACAGCAACGCAAGAAAATCCATACTGACTGTCAAAAAATGCAAAACACAAAAAAGATCAAAAACCTTAGGTTCAGCATGGGTTGCCAAATGAGGTAGCAAAAATAAGTACGAGTACGAAATAACAGATTTCCGAGATACAATATGTTTAAATATTTAAAAAATCCGCCATTTAAAATTTTTTTTTAAGGAAGTCTCTTACCATCTAAGTTAACACTCTTATTCTTACCACATTTTAGTTATAACAGTAAACAACCTGTTTTGTTGTTTTTATTAGCGAATTTCATTATAGGGAATTTGCTATTACCGTAGGTCTCATGGTAAGACCTGGGCCGGGAACGATTTACATTTTCATTTTGATGTCCCCATAAGCCAAAAACACCATTCGTATGGTGAATGGTTACGGAGAAAATTCTTGTTATTCTCATGGAGAATATTGTAAAATGTTGTAGTTGGTTTGTTTATGGATATATTTGATCAAACTTGGTGGGCTCATTTATTTCATACTAAGCTATTATTATTTAATAAAAAACACACCTTATTAGTTTCCCTGTAGCAGCTAACCTAGGTACTCGCTGAACATAAATGTAAATAAATCAATTGAAAATCAATCCAGGCAAATGGAAATTCGCTTAGTCGGAAAGTTTGCTGCAGGGGGGTATTTTATATTCCCGTATTTTGTTTTATTTTTAGGTAGCTCTACACATTTTTCGATAATTCAAGGCCACTATCCACATTCTTGCCAAATTTTAAGTCTCTATCACGTTTCTGAATGGTTCAGAAACAAACACCGAAGCCAGCCACTTTCAAGCTGATTCAGCATAAGAATAAAATGGGAAACTGTTATAGCCTCATAACAGTGATAAAAGCATTCAAATTTGACATAAAACTGAAATTTTATGGGTTAATGAGTAAGGTAATGAAAAAAAACATGTTAAGAGTAAAATTTAAGGTTAACTAAGGAGAATACAAAGCAATAGAAATATAAAAAAAATTCTTATGTTCTTATGAGTAGCGAAAACCAATAAAAATTTTAAAGAAATTTACCAATTTTTGAAATTATGGCGTTTTTAGGGATGAAGGAGTATGATTTTCGCAAATCGCCATATAAAGGGTTTGTAAAAAATTAATTCCTGACCTTAAAAAGTGTTTCAAATCTTTGCTAGCTCTTACCGTTTTTAGTTATAGCCTATTTGGAAAAACGTGTTTTGTCGTTTTTGGTGTACGTCATTTTGGATTTTTGAGATGATAAAATTTTAAAATGGGACTTTGGCAAAGTTTATCGTTATTTTAAGGTGATTTTTCACACCCTTTTCGAATTTCCAGTCTCTCGGACGTTTCCAAACTATTCAGATGACCATACCAAAGTCTTTACATTTCAATGTTATTCTCCATAAGAATAGCATGGGGCTCGTAAAAGTGTTAAAACATTTATAATTTTGACACTAAACCTAAGTTTTTTGGGTCAAAAAGATAAGTTACGAAAAAAACCTGTAAGGAGTTAAATTTAAAGTAAACAAAGGGGAATACAAACCATTAATAATATTTGCAAAAAAAAAATGCTTATGTAGGATAAAATAGTGAAAACTATTACCAATCAGAGAAAAATGTACCATTTTTTTAAAGTAGGGCGTTTTTTGGGGGTGAAGGGGTGTGATTTTCGGAAACGCCTAAGAGTTTTGTAGAAAATTTAATTCCTGAACGTGGAAATTCCTGCAAATCTTTGCTAGGTCTTACAGTTTTTATTATACCCGTAAAAAAACACCTGTTTTGTCCTTCTTATACGTCCGCCATTTTGGATATTAATGATGGTTAAATGTTTAAAATTGTAGTTCTCCAAATTGTTGCAATAATTCAGGAGCACAATCTATATCCATGCCAAATGTTCAAGTTTCTATCACGATTCTAGATGGTTAAGAAACGAGCACAGAAGTCAGCCACTATAGATTATTCCCCGTAAGAATAACATGGGGAACTGTTATAGTCTCCAAATGTTGACATTAAACTTAAGTTTTGGGGGTCAAGGACTAAAGTTATGAAAAAACATGTAGTAAGTAAAATTTAAAGTTAACTAATTTATATACAAAGCATTAATAATATTTGTAATAAAAATTACTTAAGTATGAAAAAAGCGAAAACCGTAAACAATTTGAAACAAATTAAAAAAAAATTGAAAGAAGGGCGTTTTTTGAAGGTGAAGGAGTGCAATTTTCGTAGAACGCATATGATGTCTTGTACAGAATTTAATTCCTAACCTTGAATATTCTTAGAAATCTTTTTTAGCTCTTACCGTTTTCGAGCTATAGCCATAAAAAAGCGAGGTAATAAAACGTTTAAAAAAACATGTTTTTTTAGATAAAACCCATTTTGGATTTTTTTTGGGGGGGGGGGTTAAAATAAAAAATGGGTCTTTTGAAAATTTCACCGTTAATTTAAGATCACGTATTACAATTCTGCTAAAAGTCTCTAGCATGTTCCTAAATGATTCAGGTGAGCACACCAAAGACGGCTACTTATCATTTTATTTCCCATATGAGTAACATGGGGAAACGCTAAATTTAAGGGGGGGGGGTTAAAGTTAAAAAATGCAATTTTTAGGTTTTCCTGGGGTTTTGGGACCAAGACCTACAACCGTGCCAAATTTCAGATGAGTAGCTATTCTAGAAGTGGGTAAACATTTGTATCCCCAGTCAGTGAGTGAGTCAGTTACACATGCGGCTGAATATATTTTAAGGAATTCAACACTTATAAAATATTTACCGCCGAAGATATGGTTTATGCTATAAACTCTCGTACATTTTTAAACGATCTAAACAAAGGGTGATCCAAACACTCAAGCTATGTAAATAAAGTAGAGTGGTTATGTTACCTCTGTACTAACAATTGTACAGAATGTGTACACAAGGTTCCATTGTCTGTTAGTGTTTTGTAACATTGGAGCTCGCCAAGTCCAAACACAGGGAGAATGTGTCGTGAGTAAATAAATAAACCTGAGTATACTCAGTGGCCAAACAGACAGGGTCAACATGCTGCTGAAAAGAGCTGGTCATTGTCAGTTATTGACTACATTGATATGGCACTCTGCTGTCTGGTGGAGTGGTTTTCAGTTCGTAAAAGTAAAATGTATTCTTTGCCGAGGAATTTTACATTCCTCGAAGAAATATACAGATTTAATATTGGCATCTTATGGCGTTATGTGTTGTTACGGTAAAAATAATACTTTTCTATGGTGAAATTTACAAATATGATTTTGTTTATCTAGCTATTGGTAATTTCAAACTCCCTTAAGAAGAATTTACTACATTAATTATAATACTTAAACAATAACACCACGTTAACTACTTAAAATTGAAATAGTAAATCATTTGGTAAATTACATTAGTGGAATCCTTTCAAATTCACATTTGACCCATAATTTGTTTTCAAACCCCCTAAGACTAATATCATTGACTATAAGGATTCATAGTCAATGCTAATATACAAAAAAAGCTCCTAACTTGAAAGACATCCTTTCATAACCCAATCTACCTCCCACTTCCCAACCATCAGCAAAACCTTCGGGCTGTAATCAATGCGACAAACCATGATGTGCCACTTGCAAATTAATCATCCCATCAAAAACTTTCACAAGCAGCCAAACAAAATATATAACATAAATAGTCACTTGTGATTCTACTAATGTAATTTACCAAATTTCCTGTAAAAATTATCCTAAAGACTACATTGGCAAAACAACAAATGCTCTTAAAGTTCGTATGAATGGCCACAGATAGGATGTAAACCATCCTGATAAACAAAAACTGTGGCTATTCATGCGAGAGAGCATTCTCAAAATTTTCAACAATGTTATTCATTGAAAAGAATAAGAAAATTGGCAAAAGACTTACAGACTTAAAATTAAGACTGCTTGAACAAACTTATCAATTAATACTATCTAAAACACCTTCCGGTCTAAATTTGAGATGGTATATCAAACATTTTTTTTCTTTCTATCAACATTTTATTTTTTAATTCCTTACAAATTATATGTATTTTTGAATTTTGCTAAAACCATCTGATACAGAGTGGTAAACACTTATAATTGTTATTGTTTGTTCCTGAAGAAGGCTTATGCCGAAATATAGAACTTACTTAAAAAGTGTGGGATAAGTTCATTTTTAAATCTACATTGCTATTTCTATTTAATTGTAAGTTTGTATGGTTAATCTTACCCTAGGATCATACAAGTTTATAATAATACAGATGTGTTTCAAAAGAGATTTATCAGTTTGACCTTTAGCGAGAGCTAAAAAGACAACTACATTATTCATAAACTTGTTAGGGAGCTTTCAATATGGTCTTTACAAAGATTTGGCAATTTTGTAGTAGTTGATCATTAGATATTTCACCCAAAAACAAAAGTTACGTACAAGTCAGGTAAAAAATTAAAAAACAAATAATTTTTAATAAATTCATACTGTTATATAATTGTTTTTCGTCTAAGGATTGAATATCATTCTTTAATTGAAATTATAATATTTTCTTTCAAATTCATCCATCCTGGCGTTTAATTATAATATTCATCATAAATAGGACTACAGTATTATAAGTGGATTCGGATTTTATGTATCCAGTTGCAAAATATTAATAAAATAAGTCGAATATTTTTTAAATTTGGCGCTTCGTTTTTAATTGTAACTATTTTAATGTTATATAATTGTATATGTTTGACTTATACAGTATAGGACAGTGATATTGAATACGTATATACTATTATTTTTTATTCCTAAATACCAGAACCCAACAATGAGGTGAGGTAGGAAGGTATAACACGTTGATATTCACGTCACAGGGGAGTAGCCAGCGGCCGTATTGTGTTATTGCGGTTTTGTTTACTTTACTTAACAAGTTTCATGAGAGAAATACGGATATAATGCTTGACAGTTTTAAAAAGATCAAATTCGCTTTAAACTGACGAGCTGTGACTTAAGAAAGGCGAGTAGATTATTAAATGAATATTATTTTTCAACAATTTTTAGTTCATTAGAATAAACTGTAATTAAAACCCATTGATTGAAGTTATAATATAAAGTTATAATATGTATAAATATAGTCATGTATTAACTTTACCAACACGCGTAGCCATACAGCTTGATGACAAAATACTAACTTTAGAGAGTTTTTTTTACTCCATTAGAGGTACATTTCCTTTATTTAAGCATTTTTGTACATACAAAATCTGTCTTATTTGTTTTAGCGTATCGTAGTAATACTATCTTCCACTGTAATAAACTATAAAAAATAGCTATTTACATTACAAGTGTAGTAAGAGCGTTTTTATATCACGCAGGTGAATGTTGTGCAACGAGCGGAAGCGAGTAACAGTTATGGCTATTCAGCTTAATAATTTGCTCAGTTATGTACGCAGTTGTGTGCTAGTAGATGCTTAAACTATACGGTACACGTATCGATACGTTTACAATTTTATATCTACAAACCCAAACATCTTAAAGGAAATGTACATATTTTTGGCCAAAGAACATTTTTGAGCGCCCCAAAGTTTCCACTAAGATAGATATCGTAATGATTAAAAAAAGGAATATTAACCAAAAGGTATCTCAAGCCTTCCTAATACAGTTTACTAGCCTATATAAATACGTCACGGGTTACTATGAAACTTTTTATTTCAGTTTTAATTTTGATCGCATTTAATTCAAAAAATAAATTAAAGTAACAAGACATTTTGCTCGAAAATGCTCGACAATATATTTTTTTAATAATAATATTACTGTATACGCTTTCATTTGTATTTGCAGGTAATGTGTTCGTGATCGCCGCCATCTTGCTGGAGAGGAATCTTCAGAACGTTGCCAACTACCTTGTAATGTCTCTTGCTGTGGCAGATCTTATGGTCGCTTGCTTGGTGATGCCACTCGGCGCTGTCTACGAGGTAATATTGAGCTTGCAATGAAGTTTATGATACAAATAATAAATACTAAACATACCCCAACGTAGCTGTTTTTAATATTTGCTCCATAATCGAAAAATCATTGATTGCTCTTAAACGTATGCATTGTTGCACACTTACAATATTTGTTTGTATTTATGAATATTTTTACAGTCTTTAAATGAGGACTTACATCCATACTTATAATAGTAGCTATAATTGACACTAAATTTGATTTAAATTGGCGAAATTTTACTGAGAAAAGACTTAATAACTTAAAAAAAGACTTAAAAAATATTTAGAATCCATGTTTTAGGATATGTCTAAATGAATATTAAGGAATTTTCCTAATAGAAAAAATATATATTTGACTAAAGTCAAGTGTAGGCTGCAATAACTATATGAACAACATTATAATACACCTACTGAATATAATCTGTATATTAATTGTAAAGAAAACCATACTGGATAGTTTAATCATAGAAAAAAAGTAGCGCGTACGCCGTAACTACACGGCGCTCTCAGTGGTGGACACCAGAACCTATGCTAACCGCAGCACGGGTGACGGTCTATATTTAATTCTTTTTGTTTATGTTTTCATACAGGTTTACCAATGTGGCATTAACTAATTGTTGTATCGTAACAGTAACCAAGTTCTGTATCATAAACCATGTGTATATTATAAAGTAGTGTGGCACAATGATTAATGTGGGACTAATAGATGGTGTGAAATACTAACTTTGTTGTAACAAACGAACTGTAAATTCCTTGCGAGAGACAGAATGTGAATGTATTAATTAAACTTGTTTCGCTCTGTTGCTTCCCTTGCAGACTCCTGTTAGTTCATTTAGTATATTTTAAAGAATTTGCTTTGGTATATAAAAATATGTTTAGGGTTATAAAAATTGTTTTCAAAATTTTTATCAATAACAGATTCGTGAAATGGGGCAAAATGTAAATCGCCAATTTGATATCATACAAACTTAAATATATATTATACATTATTTAATTTGTCCAAGTAATTGAATGGAATTGTTATAAATTTCCATGAACGGACATATGTACAGTAATATACAATTTTTTTTAGTTTTTAACTGTTTTTATTATGATTATAAATGAGGAAAAATGGCATAACATTTTAATTTTAGAAAATAGTATGTATTTTCAAAGTTAGACAAACATTATTAGGTATTAGATAATTTATAATCAGCTGATAAATATAATTTAGTATCCATGTGTGTAATAATATTGAGTTAAAATACAAGCATACAAAGTTACATGCGTGTTAACGTGTTTCTACTGGATTACAACCACAGTTTTAATAAATGTTTAACCTATAAAATGTATATATTTTTATTATTTTGAGGCATAAAATAAAGACCATGTAATCCTCAGAAGTGTCCAAAGGATAAACTGAGTCGAGAGCAAAGGAAGGAAGGAGAGGTAGAGCATCTGAGATGTCATCCCCAGTCATCCTCTGATATTGAGCTAGAAACAAACATTCAATTGCACACAGGAGCTAACCTACATATTCTTTTTCTGTATGCTTTATATGTTAATGTAGCAGAGGTTTTTTGATAACAAATTTCATATTGATTTTTTTTTCTTCTTAACTATTTGAATACATTATTTCATAAAAGGATTTAAGGTAAATTGTAATAGTCACACAAAACTATTGGTGATTTAATGGGTCTTTTGATGAAGATCTAAACATTGTAAGAAAATGAAATGGTTTCCTGTAAAAGAGACCCTTAGTTTTGTTGTTAATTGTATTTATTATGTTTTTATAGATAAGCAGAGGATGGATCCTGGGCCCGGAGTTGTGCGACATGTGGACGTCCAGTGATGTCCTGTGTTGTACGGCTTCCATCCTTCATCTCGTAGCCATCGCTGTGGACAGGTAAGAGTAATTTTATAAAGTTCATTCTTTGAAAATTTTCTTGGACTATTATTATGACTAATTACTTTTTGAGAAATGGTCAAAGTTTTCGATACAATAATATTTTAGCAACAAATCAATTTATTTACTGTTTGAATGTTTTTTTTATACATGCAACTGAGTATACACAAGGATTGAGGGTAATATGAAGTAGGACACCTTGTTTGAATATTTTATAAGGACTGCCTCTGGGAAAAATTTTCAGCTCTGTTTATTAGTGATACTGACTTAAAGACTCAAAATTAGCGGTCAATATCTGAAATACAAGTAACTTTTATCTAATCATATGCATGTATGAATATTTTGCATGGTTACAAATGTATATTTCTGGTTATAGGTACTGGGCGGTGACCAACATAGATTACATCCACACCAGAAATGGAGGTCGTATCATCGGCATGATCGTCGTCGTCTGGTCCGTAGCACTGGTCGTGTCTTTGGCTCCTCAGTTTGGCTGGAAGGACCCTGATTATCTGGATCGTATCAACAACCAGCAGCGATGTCTCATCAGCCAGGACGTAGGATACCAGATATTTGCCACCTTCTCCACATTCTATGTTCCACTGCTAGTCATCCTAGTGCTCTACTGGAAAATCTACCAAACGGCTCGGAAGAGGATAAGACGAAGAAGAGCTCAAAGAAACGCAGTCTTAGAATCCTGCAAAAGCAAGGAAGCTCCTCAAGAGAAAAGAAAGGGGTTAGGTTTTCTTAAAAAGAAGAGATTTCTCCGAATGAAATCAGGAGATTCTAAAACTACTACTGAGGGCTTGGCGGCGTCCCTGGTTCTAATTGAGGGGCAGTCCACCTGCTCCACTGTTGATGCTGTCGAGGAGGATGTGTCTCGAAGACCTAGCAACGTAGACGCTCCAGAAGCTACTACTGCCTTCACGATCTCCACCAATCACGCTACGACCCCCAGCAACTTGTCACCAGAGAAGACATCGGACCCAACCGCTACCACCAACAACGGATCTGCACATACGTCAGAACCATCCAAACAAACCCTGTCCAACACCAAGGACTCTTCTGCATCCTTAGTGCCTACCCCCGTCCTGAAACCAGCCAACCATCCACCAAAGCGAGATAAGACCAGAGACCTCGAAGCGAAAAGGGAAAAGAAAGCAGCGAAGACCTTAGCCATAATCACTGGAGCCTTCGTAGTGTGCTGGTTACCTTTCTTCATCATGGCACTACTTATGCCACTTTGTGATTCTTGTGAGATTAACCCTTACCTCGCCAGCTTTTTCCTTTGGCTAGGGTACTTTAACTCTACCCTCAACCCTGTTATTTATACAATTTTCAGTCCTGAGTTTAGGATGGCGTTTAAGAGGATTCTTTGTGGTGTTAGTAGTGCTAGAAATAGGGGAAGAAAACTGAGATAATGCAACCGAATAAAAGTTACCATTAGTATTGTTATAAAAATGTTACATTTAAATGACATTTAAAACCTTTAAGAGAACATATTGAGACATTTTAATCCTTTTTTTGTGATAGGCTATTTTACGTATTTAAAAGGTGCTTTAGGATAAATATAAACAGTGTCAAGACTATAGCTTAATAAACGAGATTTCCTCGAAGACAAGATAAATGTTTGAGCCGATTACAACAGTTTGTTGTTTATGACATGAACTACTCTAATTTAGTCGTAAAATAGTATACAAGGAATGATAATTGTTAAATAGGTTTTAAATAAATTTTGCCATATATCACCCTACCGAGAAGAATTTAGTGTTGTGTATAAGTGATGTTGTCATATATTTTTCACTTTGAAACTGTACATATTATGTATATTATTATTGTACATTGTAAAGTTTATTAAAAGTTACGATTTGAAATATTTTTAACATGTTAGAAGCGGACTAATACTTTAAAACTAAGTTTATTTTGAAGTTCGGAGTGCTTATGGGTATATATAATATAAATTGCGTGTTTGATTTAGTGTTTTCCGTGACTAAGTGTACATCGTGTGTATTTACTCTTGTCCCAAGGAGGTAAGCCTAGTAAGCCCTACATTGGAGCCTTGCTTCCAAACATTACTGTTGTAATATACTAATATAATGTAATAAATATGTATTGAAATGTAAAAATAAACTATGAGACTTACTATTTAAGGAGTGTACTTTTTATTCGTATGTACTTTAGTTTGGGTTATCAATTGCTACATGCATCTACCTACCCTATAACCACCTACTGATATCAAGCCCAATAATAAATGACGTCTTAGGCCCAAATTGACCTTACTTGGACACAGAACAGTAACCTTCACAATTAGGTAGCACAATAACCCTTTAATCTTTCAAATGTTTTGCAGTTTAATAAACAGAAAAATAATAGAACCCTAAGTATTGAGCCTTAAGTATCAGTGAATCCTTCGAATGCATTATTACTGTTTGCAATAAGATTATAATAAACAATACATTCATTGCAGTGTATAGTGTCAGTATTTCAGCAGCAATGAGCAAAGGCTGTAAAGGTGATGGGGTTGAGGAGTGGCAACATATCTGATGGATGGGTTTGGAATTAATGTGTTTCGCACCTTACACACGTACCACCTGTAGCCATCGTTATCTTTGCTATATAAAACTACACCGTATAGCTGCTGAATATACACATTTACTCGTGGACATTTTTTTATTCTCCTTTTAGGTTAAATTGTTTGTTATACAGATATACGCTTTAAGTAATTCTATCATAATTTAGTGTTTTATTCAATGTAAAAATGTATAAATGATAATGCACATTAGCTTTAAAGAATATTGCAAATTTTTTACCAACAGGATTGGTAAAGACTAGTTGGATTGAGGGCAAATAATTATGTTCTTGGTGTAAGTAAACTATACATAACATTTTAGTCTTTGGGCCTCTTCTCGCGATGTAATAGACTAAAGTGAAATAGACTAATCGATCATTCATCGATAGTTTAAACAGAAACATTATCTGTAGAATAGAGTTTATCTCTGGAAAAATCTTTTGAATTGTGTAAATATTTATTATTCTTTTTTAATTAGCAAGGATTTTACCATACAATAAATAATATAAAGAATTCCGATTTAAATACGAAAGGACGATATTAGAACCAATATGTCCATAGGTATGAGTTTCGAAATATTACCTACCCAAACAAGAGGTTGATAAGTGTTAAATTAAGCACACAAAAAATACGCATTCATTTAAATTTTATAACAGATTTAAATTTCTCTGATGAATCATCTATATAATGCATTGTATATAAGCAGCTACCACAAACGACTTGTCTACTCACTTGTATACCATTATCAAAACATTGACATGGTGTAATCACTACGACATTTGATATGTGTTCTATAAGGATTGCTTGTAAGTTTGTTCACTTGACCACGGAAAGTGTACTCCTTTTCTTGTTTTTGCAGAATCAGGCCAAGCCGTAGAACAAAGAGTCTCGCAACTTAAGTGGCCATTGTAGACACAAACCCGTGGCTCTTCATATACCATTGTCTATCAAACCTTACTTGGTCGTTTATCCACTACTGAGGACAAAGTGAATTGCAATTAGAGTGACTATAGCATTAGTATTGGTTTAACAATGTCTGGTTGGCTGTACCCTACAACACTACCATAAATAGAAACATAATGACCATTTTACTGTAACTTATCATCTTGACAGCCTAAGCTAGGTAATAGATGAAAGAGTGTAATAATAAATGACAATCTTACCTTTGATGAGAACATTACACATTTCCGTTTCAGTATGATGTATATCTTTATAGAAAACATGTTTTATATTCACTTTCAAATTTACTTAGCTTGAGGCCAACAATTAATAACAACACTTGCCAAAGGAACGTTATATTAAAAAAAAACCGATTAGAAAGGCATATATATTGGTTGAGTTTTATGCGAATCAGTTAACAGACGCACATTTGATAGTTTTAAATATGCTCTCATGCCGTTATTGTCAATCGTCAAGTTCCAAAAGTTGGTCCAGATGTAAGCTTCTGTTGTGATGCGAATGAAAAATGAAGCGTCAATATGGAGGTCACATTGTCTCGTTTTAGAGTTCTTCAACACTAGCTATTAGTTGAGATGTTTTGTGTCTTAGATGAATGTATCATAGTGAATTTGTGTGTGGTTTTAAAACCGTCAATTATAATCCAATCAAGGGTTAATCCTGATCACAAAAATACTGCATTTGACAAGTTTAATAGCTACAGTAAAGTTTTGTATCGGTTATTTTTTTAATGTTTAATATTTCATTATACTAGAGTAATCATGCTTCTGCACTAACCTTTTATATGCATCGCCCTTACTTGCAATATACTACTTCTATTTTCATTACTACTATTTTTTTTACTATTTTCATTGTTACCCTGTTCAATAAAAATTTTCAATTTACAATATTATACAGAAAGTTCATCTGCAGCACTCGATCTTTGATTTAAGACAAATCAAATGCTAAGGTTATTATCAAGAAACCCATTGTTTTATTCAGTAATGTATATAGAAAGACAAGAGTTGGTATAAATTAAACGAAACAATGATAGAATTATAACCGTTGGCGTTTACATAACAAATTACTTTCCCTGCTATCTTCACAGCATATCAGAGTGGACGTGTTTAAAAAATCATATACACTATTTTATGAATCTGCAAGCTTAAATCCAAGGGGTATCTCTAGACCTAGCGGCAGACCGGCAGCAGTGGAAGGATCCTGTTGGCGAAGCAAAAAACCAGTTAGGTTTGAGTGGCCAAGGAGGTAAGGCAATGCAAGTACATGCTTAAATTTAAATGTGTTACTATAAGAATACCTTGAGAGTTTCAAAGATATAAGCAAAGAAATACAAGTTCCAAAAATAGATTAACATGCATAAATACAAAATCTGAGAAAAGATAGTTACAGTAATACTATAGTCCCTACAAGAAACATTCGACAATTCCATTTGCTAAGTCTGTTAAATTTATAACGAAAATCCGAATAAAAGATAATTCAGGAATGACCATACAGGGTGTTTAGCTTCGACGAGGACGAACTTTAACAAATTATTAATGAAAAAAGCAAACATTGCAATACAACATTAATTTGTCCTATCTCGAAACATTCAGCGTCTGTTTGTATGCGTTAAAAAAAACACTTTCAATTTCTCAACGATATGTGCTGCAGTGTTAAATCTAATTTAAATTGTTAACACTCTATATATAATTTTTTTTTTATGGAGAAATTCGTATGCATTGAATAATAAAATGAATTTGCCAGTTATTATAAAATTGTCAGTTATGTCGTTAAAATCTGTATATTATTTACCAAACATTACTTATCTTGGATTGGAATTGTTGTGTGAAATTAACGGTTTTAGTGTAATTTGTTATACATTTTCTAAAAGCTGACAATTTGGAACAGTTCAAAAGTTGTTATTCACATTTGCTCAACGTTAGTTGCCAAAAAGATAACCATTTTTGCTCAATTCAAACGCTGGAAGCTCAAACCACTAAGAATACAATGTTTGCCAAAAAACGCATACAGACAGACAGACAGACGCTGAACGGTTCGAGATAGGACAAATTTTGTAATAAATTTTATGCTTGTTTTGACCTCTAGTATAATCTGGTGTAGTTTTTCCTAGTAGAAGCTGGACACCCTGTAAAACAAATCAACATCATTAACAAAATGAACAACGTTGAAACTGTTAACTACATGCCTTTTATCCGTGCTCAGGCACCGTTGATGTACGCTTTGACTAAAATTCACTATTATAGCACGTCCATGAATATTCATGTGCTGTTGGCTTCATAATTAGTCAGTTAACTTTCTATTTACAGGTAAATGTGGTGTTATGTACTTTTATCTGAGCGTTCCAGGTGGTCAAAAATAAACAGTAGTTGTATTATGGTAATGCATAATAATTACCATATGGCCTAGTATTGCGATTAAAAATATACTATGGTATATAAAAAGAGTATGTCACAAATGGGGCATTGAACACACAAATCGGTCCCGGGTCTAGGTCTTACCACCAGACCTACGGAAATCGCTTATTTCCTATATTGGAAATTTTCTTAAATTAGCGTCAAAACCTCGATAACAAATCACTTTATCAAGACTTTTTAATTTGGATACGTAATTTAGGTATCGTTGAAAACAACTCTACTTTTGGTCCTCGTATTACCTGTTATGACCCGTAAAAATTAATAGTCAGAACAATAAAACGGCTGTACAATATTTTATTTTAAGATTGAGTTGAAGTAATTTTTAAGGCCATCAGTTTAACAGATAAATTAATACGTTTTTACATGTAATTCGTCTAAATTGATTTAAAACGAAAGTGACTGCACTTGATGCTATAGAGCCAATAAGCTGTTGTCGCATACATCAATATAACGTAATCGGAGCTTTCCAGGCTTAACTAACGCCATTCTGCGTGTTAATGGTGAAATAGGCCGTAAGCTACTGTTGCTACAGTATGAAATGAAACGAAACCATATTTATGCGTACGGACAATCTACAATACTCTATCGGTTCAAACTAATCTAAAAACACAAAACAAAATCATTAGTGAATTTAAAATTATTAAAATTAATTATTTTAAAAGGAATTAATTCATGACGTTTGTTAAAATCAACTAAAGTGACGAAAATTTGGTACGTTTTAGAGTAAATTATCTCTGAAAGCAGTTTTAAGATGTTTATAGTAGTGGAACAATGAAATCTAAACGCACACTAAGTTATTTGTGCGTGTCACTAACTTTTGTAAGGATATAAGTTTATAATGCAAGTAAGAAAGATTTTGCCTAAATTGGAACACAGTTCAACCACTCTACCACAGTATTGTTGCATGCCTGAAGGACATATGTGTTATGTGTTAAAACACACAAACAAAATTGAAAGACAGCTCTGCGTGATAGCGGATAGTGTATGGTAGATGAATGTGATTGGTTTATATCATCCGCTCACCAGGTGTTCACGGACGGTAAATAACGCCGATGGTCCATCAAAAACTAATCAGCTGTAATAGGTATACTACGGTAGAGTAGTTTTTTTTTTTTTTTTTAACAGAGGGCAGGGCTTACAAGTGACCATGGGATTGCATCGCAGCGCGGTAGGGTAGTTGACACTACTAGTTCTGCATTTGATATTTCAT